CACCCCATCACTGAGTACGGCTGCGTGGTATATGCGGGAGGAAGTCAACACGCTATTCAACCTCTATCCACCATACAAAACATGCTCCTGTGAACTGCCCAAGAAGCTCTGCGCACTTCCCCAACGTCAGCGCTTGAAGTTAACGCCCACGTTATGCCTCTTGCTCTCCAACGAATGGAGAAAAATTCGATATATAACAAAAGTGCGACGAAATTTCTATCACCCAGCATTTGAATCTATACATATCTTAACTTGCATTCACCACAACTACATAAGGCCAGGTGGACGACGGTCAGGGCTGACAATAGCATCTCGAACCACTGTTACCTGTGTCACTCTTCATTTTGTTTTACCCCGTTCTTCCGTGCCACCTGTTTTAATCAGGGAGCTAGAATTGCCTTTGAACTAGGGTGGGAATGAAAAATTCCATCGCAAAAAGACCGTGCAGGAGTGAAAAAATAAGTTAACAAAAGATGGAACTTATGAGCTCGTGACTGATGCTTCAGCAAACACAGACATCTATTTCAAGTTGGCATGGACGTAATATCATAAACCAGACAAAACTTTTTGGTTTTTAACACCTTAAGCCGTTAAAGTGGAACAGAATACATTAAAGCATGGTAACTTCATGACAGTGTAGTAAGCATAAACAATAATTAACACCAATAATCTGATGCTGTACTTTGCACTTTCCTTCCACAGTACTTTAACACAAAACAAAGCGAAGGAGTTCAACAGCAAAAAAACAATAAAGATTCAACAAGCATAAAACACAAAATTCAAACACAATAGGCATACCTCTGACTTTGGTTAAGATGGGGTCGGGGAAAACAAACATTTTGTCATTGTTTCTTACAAAATATTTATGCTTATTCCATGAAAGTAGCCTAACTATGCCTAACGTAAAGAGGCCTTACTTCTTCTCATCCTGTCTAGCCTGTTTGCATCACAGCAGCAGTTGCGAGTTACTGATTCTTGCACAATTCCTATTGCCACTCGCCATGCACTTAACCAACTTGACATAACTTAGAGTAGCCCATATGTTGTACATCATCTCAACTCACCTATCTGTTGACAGCAGCATTTGTGATAAAAACATGATATAGCACATTTTTGGCTGGTTTCAACTTGCATTTTTATTCAGTTCACTTGTGTATGCTTGTTGGCATCAGACAAAGTTGACAACACACGGGCCAAAATACTTGAAATCCCTTTGAACAACTTATTTTGACTGTCATTGTTTACCTGTGTCAAGGGCAATAATGGGTATGCTCCACAAAACAATCCCTCTTCTCCGAAAGTAACATAACCTTCAGATGACCATGCCAGTATTGCTGCTTGTCTTTTCAGCTGCAGCAAAGGCATCTATTTAGGCTTGTTTATTCATATTTAATGACAAAGTTTGACATGTTGGCTTCACATTTTAAATGGGATGGTCTGACTATGCGTTACATACTAATATTTAACTCACATTTTAATTGCTATGCAGCTTAGAGTATCACTGTGTTAAAAATACGGTGCATATATACAGAACAGTCATTTGCCAGCCAGCAAACCACGGCCACTATGGAAAACATCCGGTTAAAACAACCATGAGGGACCACTTCAAGAAATTTGGGGCAAATAATCAAGAATGTGGAACAAAATAAGCCTATTGTATGCCTTGTGGCATCATAATTTGTCTTATGACAAAACTCGATTGATTGAAACATAAAATTGCTAACTCTGGTTACCAATCATGTGTTGAAAGCAGGTAAGGTTAGCAATTACTTGGTTCGCAGGAGGCTTACTGGCTTCTTCCTGCTCCCCCAAGACAAAAAGTCAATACATTTTGCATGGTCTGCTGGCAGACAGAGTCATCCCACTCACCCCCCCCCCCCCCCAAACATAAATATCAATAATGCTCACCAACCTACGAGATTAAAAGGCGGAACAAGTAAGAGGTGTGCATGATAAACATCTCCAGAGGGCAGAATTTCGCCATCAAACACTTCTGTATTAGTTGCGTCAGGTCTATCCCAAAGCTCTGTATGGCAGCATTAGGATGGCCTCGTCGGGTAGCCTGGTGAGTTAGACGATCAAAGGCTTAGATTTATCAGTATTGAGCACCGCCATGAACCAAGAAAACGGTTAAATAATGGTTTAACAGGGCAAAAATGGCGGTAAAAATAAGTTCCGTGCTTTAAATTGTCTCCTTCATTCCCTGTGAATTGTTCACTCTCGGGTGCATATCAAGCATATTTGGGCGGCTGAGGAACTGATCCAATTTATGTGTAAAATACGTACAAGTTTGCAGTTGGAGATTCTTGCAGAGAAAATGGTCAACAGTTTAAGCAACAGACGGTACATCTAAAGGCAATCCAAAAGAAAGGAAAAATAAAGTGGTGTCACACACGTATGATACCAAGAAAAATAAAAGCAGTCAAACAAATATAAAACTGATACCTTTCTGGCAAAATTTTGTTATCAGTTGATTTGACTTAGAATCTGTTAAAATAAGTGTTTATATGGTGATATTCATCTCATTAATCATCTTAAATTTCATTTGGAAGATAGTTCTCGAATCCTTCACTCCTGCATTTCGAGAGTGATGCAATTTAGTGGTCAAGTTTCTTCGGGGAAAAGAAATACGTGGAGTAAAATTATCTACCAGGTCTTGCTGGTGTTTGCACCAGGCTCTGCTTTCGTGGTGCGGTGGTGAGATGAAAAAACAGGGGATGTGTGAAAACCTTGCGTTTGGCACACAGCTGCAGATTTTGATGCATTTTGTAAACAAACCAAACTTAATGCGTGCAAGCTGCTGGGGTTGCTGGGATTCTTGGGCTCGGAGGTACCTGGCGTCCTTGTTGTGTGCATGCATAGACATGATTCAGATGTAGGTGAGGCGGGACATAGCCATAGGTGTCCAGGTTCTGTGGAGCCCCGTGTAGGCTTGGTGGTTTCAAATGAGCTCGGTTTCGGATGACATCTGAAAACCTCAGAAAGGGAAATAGGGGTTTGGCATGTGCGATTAAACAATGTCAGGCGGGAGGGAAAAAATCACATAAAATATGGGGAAAAGACGTGAAAAATTCCTCCTCATAGGGTGCTGCTTTACACCCAAAGTGGGCAATTCTGGGACACTGGTTTTAATAGTACCGCGATGGCAGGAATCTGTTCCGAAAGGGCCAAGACGGGTGTGTCGTGAACCGTGTCGTAAGCTGTATGTGTAAAGAGTGAACTACATCACGCTGTCTTCCATCACCTACCTCACAGCGTGCTGCGATCGATATCGAAAGTTTTTGGTGATCTGTGGTCCGCTCATATTTCCCCAAAGGTGTGGGAAAACACAGCAATAATCCCAATTCCAAAACCAGGCAAGGACGAACACGATTCAGTCAACTATTGTTCAGCTACGCCCACCAGCTGCCTGGGAAAGCTTTAAAACGTACGGTTGGCAAGCGCCTTGCCTGGATAACAGATCGTGAAAAACTCATGTGGTATCCGCAATGTAGATTTTGACACAACCGTACCACCTGTGATCATATTATCCGTCTCGAAACAGACATTCGTCGCCCTTTCCGCCCAAACGTCAGGTCACTGTAGTGTTCCAAATATCACTTGCACTTATGACATGGCATATAAGCCCGCTATAGTTTTCAGCATTTGGAAGTTATGATTTATGGGACATTTGGTACAATAGCTCGCGGGATTTGTTTCGTGAACGCGGCCGTTCCGCGCGAGACGTCGGTCGGCTGCCTCTAATATTCACATTCAAGAGAATGATCTTGCACAGGGTAGCTGTATATCTCCAATGCTCTTCAGCATAATGGAAGATGATTTGTTGTATGGTCTCGTTGGACATATCCTCGTCACTTTTCGCGGATGATGGCGCACTTTGGTGCTCAGATGTAGAATTTGTCATTACCACGCTTCCGAGGGGCACTTCACAAGTACAGCAATGGTTAAAACGTTATGGTTTCTATTTTTACTCAAAAATCGGCCGTTACAATTTTCAGCAAAAGGCGACGAGATACGCCTGCATATTCTCTGAGCTCGACGGTCACAATAAGCTTTTTGTTTCATCGTTCAAATTCCTAAGAATCTTTCTTTACCAGAGATTGTTGATATTCAAACACGTAGAGCATGTCCGCACCAAGCGTATGACACGTTCAACTTAAATTTCTGTGTGTGTCAGGCCATCGCAGTATCACGGGGAATGGGCGAGTCGACCGGTCGGCCAAGGAAGCATTGACGTCCCGTGACATCACACAAAGCCCTGTTGGCCATACTACAATAAAAATGGTCATTCGTAATTTTGAAAAACACGTTTGGCAATAACGGTCGGCGGAAAACGCTATGGCACAGCTTCATGACCAAACTAAAAATTACACCCTGGCCATCAGTAAACCGTACAGATCGCTTGAAGCAAAACGCATCAACAAGTCTTCGAGTTGAACGCATGGAGCTCACACATAATAAGTTATGTTTGGAATGCCCCCCCCCCCCCCCCTATGTTGTCCGTGTCATCACCCGCATACAGTTAAACATATTATACTTGAATGTGGCGAAGTTCAAGACCAGCGAGAGGCACTGGAGGCATGTTCTCTTCGTGGTCCGTCCCCCTCTGCACGCGTTTCTCTTTCCGTCAGTCCGGGTCGACATCGGCTTGATGCCGACATCGACGCTTTCGAGAGGACCAGCACAACCAACGCAGACATGCTAGTCCTGGCCACTCGGCCACAACCAGCCGGTTGATGGCACGGGCCCTGAAGTCAACTGAGGAAAATATCAGGGCAACTTCCGCCACTTTTCTGCTGCGTCACCGAATATAGTAACAAGCGCGACAGTGGGTTTACTGGTGGTGATTTCTGTTTCCTTTCACAAGCGACGTTCACTTTTTAAATATTCCTGAACCTGATTTGTTACCTTTGAATTCCAGGCAAAACTCATCGATAAGGCAGTTAAGGCTTAAAAGTGCAGCCGTGACTTTTCGAGCAGTTATTTAGCCTCAGACTAACCGAGCACAGCGTTGCAGTCTAGAAGGAGACAGACCAGCTCGAAGTTTCCCCGGGAGCAGGCTATGGCCAGCGGCGACTGCTGACCGCTGAACCACGCCCGGTTCACCAGAAATTCCGGCAAAAATCGTCTGCTGCGCTCTGTGAACACGATCAAGTGTTAGTTCGCCGTCCAGCCACCAAGGTCAACACTGTCAGCCTGCCGGAGTCTATGGACAGGTAACAGCAGATGTTTTCCATCACGCCAGGAAATGGGAACACCAGAAAACACGGGGAAGAGACTGCGGTTTTGTTTACCAAACAGTTTTCAGGGGCAGCATCATTTACACGCCACCCCACCGGAACAAGGAGCAACATTGCTGCCATGTGGAAGCACGTTGGGGTCATATGGAGGCACATCACGATCGCAGAGTGGTCAGATTATGCAGGAAGAATAACGGCAACAGCTCGCCCAAAAAGACGGCACCAATGATGACCAGCTCTGACTCACGAGATACTACCCCTGGCCACTATCCCGACAGCACCCGAATCATTTGAGTCAGAATCCATGTTAATCATGATCGTTGTGATTCACACGGATTCAATCCGGATCTAGTCCAGGTCACACCATATCCGTGCACACAAATAGGTGTGAAACCGAATATGGCATGCGACGTAATACATGCATGTGAGTGTACCGTCTCCTTTTAAAGCTACCACCGTGCAAATTTTTACAGCGGTTGGCCTCTGAGCTCGGCTGAACCCAGGCAAATCTCCAGCAGCAGCTTCTGTTCCTTCTCTCAACGGAGCCGAGACTCCACTCCTGTGCCTGGTCTGGCCTGCTTCTCCAGCCTCTGCGCCTCACCAGAGAGGAACCTAGGTTTCTCCGTCGGCTGCGGACCAGCAAAGCCGCACCTGCTATGCGCTGGGGCGACATGGGGACCTCCTCGTGCTGGTGGATGACTCTGAAGTCCTCCGCGATCTGGCGGAAAGAGAAGGTTCAGCCTCTGAAGGCCCGTGGACAGTACAGCTCGGGCACAGCTCTGTGGCTGGCCTAGTGGATGGCCGTGCATGAAAACACAAAGGGGCATCGGGCACGGGCAGTGTTGGAAGCGGGTCGCTGGGAGCTTATTGCGCGGAACATGTTCCAATCAGACATCAAACGGTATCCATTGTCTAATACATAGGCTCCTTCAGCCTGGCCTTTCATTTTCCCTGACGGCCATGGCGATATTTGACGCGTGAAGGCCAACTCCCGCCAGCTGTGTCGGACGCGGCCGCACGAGCGGCTGTGCTTGGGGGGCGACTGCATGCTTACCGCGCGGTCGACGGCTAAAGATAACAAAAATAAGAAAAGATTCATCCCGACGCATAATCTAGGTGACGTCACGCACAACATTTACCGTCCTTCTCTCCACGGATGACCAAAACGAGTCAATGGCGGTGCTACACCGTCACACATTTACCGCCATTCTCTCTACGGATGACCAAAACGAGCCAATGGCGGTGCTACACCATCGCGATGTAGGCCTTTTGCTGTCTGGCTTAACATGGCGCCCGCCAAAATATACAGCTGCTTCTTGTGATGCATCCGCGCGCTTCGCCACGCCCGGCTAGTCCACAGTTTAATCAGCTGTAAGAAATTCAGCAACAACCAAGTAGGCATGCTGTCGAGCACCAACCGTAGAGGACCCACCTCTTGGTTTTTTTCCCAGAGCCGCTGTTGAAGCTGCTGGTGGACGTGCCGCAGCCGCTCCTTTTCCAGTCTGAAGGCCCTCTGTTCGGCGGACGTCACCGTTTCCTGCTTATCCAGCGTGATCTGCTCGGCAGCGAGGTCAACATCAGCCCGGTGATGAGGCACCTCGGAGGCTGAACGGGCGGCGCTCTGGGTCATGTGAGGTCACGGTCGCCCGCCACAGACACAAGACCGGTGCTGCTGTATGCACGCGACAGTGGCACACACATACCATACCGGTATTAATATATATGTAGTATGTGTGCGTACCAGTATACCTACATATTAGTATCAAACTCACCTCATGCGGGACGTTTGGCTGTCATGTATGTTGCAAAGAGCTCTATGCAATTGATTCGTGAGAGTACAGCAGCTTCGCGCGATTTTTTTAGTAGAAAATTGAGGGACACATCACAGGACGTTATAAATCAATAACAGCCAAGACAGCCTGCTCCAGTCAGCGCTCTTCAGTCATTCTCTAACCTCCCTCCCTCCCCCTCCCCTTTCTGCCTCTCCTCAGGCCTCACCTACACACCGTCACAGCACCTATCACTCTGTTATTTGTTGTTGGACCACGGGTCATTCAGCGCAGGGTTGAAGCACTCTGGTGATTGATGGGATTCCCATCCGTACACAGGCGCCAACTACATCCCGCCTGACCGCTGTCGGTGGACCCTATTGAGGGTTGGCTGGCGAGTGGGGGGGGGGGGGGGGCAAACTCAGAAGCGATGTTTCTTTACAGATGAAACGGCACACGGTTAACCCGACACTGACCGGGTCCTCAGCGGCACGCCGATGACCGTTGGTGGGGGGGGGGGGGGGGGGCAGATTTTACCCCTGCTTATCTCAAGAACACCCGGGCCAAATTCAAAAATTTAAGTCGCGAGTGATGGCACCGTGGCGTGCTGCCTATGATAACACAGCAACTTAAGTTTGTGTGTTAAGGTCACAAGTCAAGGTCAAATTATAAATATGTTACTTTGGAATATCTGACTGCTCCCACGACGCATTTCAGTTAGACTCGTATCTCATGGTGTAAAATAATTGCGCCCTGAACAAACAGGCTATATGGGAACGTATTCAATGTCACGGGTGCCGAGCCAGGCCTGGAGTCAAGGTCACGTGCCGCCGTGCAATTGAGAGCTGAAATCTTGGTGTGGTCTATTGTGGTCCATTTATTTGCGTCATATTTACACTATCTAAACGCGAAATGGAAGAGCTTAGCTGCAATTATGGGTTTCAGACACGTGAGCAAGAGCGGTTTCTTATTTACCCACCGTCCAAGGTCAAGGTCAATTATATGACCTCGGTGGCGAGTAAGCCGTTGGATTGATTTTTGCGTTGTTTTCGACGGTTCAGTCTCGCCGAAAGCGCAACCTGATACCCTTCAACCTCGCAAACAACCCGTTCAAAGCCAGCTGATATCCTTCGACCCGCTAACCAGCCCGTTTCACCCTGGCTGATGCCCTTCAGCCCGTCACGTGGGCACTAGTTTCAGTGTTATACTGACAACCGGCTTCTGTCGCCCCGTAACGGCGCCGCTGCGGCAGACCTGAGCCCCTCCGCCCGCCGCCGCGGGCCGGTCCCACCTGGACCCCGCCGCCCGTCGCCGCGGGCCGGGCCCACCTGGGCCCCGCCGCCCGTGGCCGCGGGCCGGGCACCTGAGCCCCGCCGCCCGCCGCCGCGGGCCGGGCACCTGAGCCCGGCCGCCCGCGGCCGCGGGCCGGTCCCACCTGAGCCCCGCCGCCCGCCGCCGCGGGTCGGGCCCACCTGAGCCCGGCCGCCCGCTGCCGCGGGCCGGGCCCACCTGGACCCCGCCGCCCGTCGCCGCGGGCCGGGCCCACCTGAGCCCGGCCGCCCGCTGCCGCGGGCCGGGCACCTGAGCCCCGCCGCCCGTGGCCGCGGGCCGGGCCCACCTGAGCCCCGCCGCCCGTGGTCGCAGGCCGGTCCCACCTGAGCCCCGCCGCCCGCCGCCGCGGGCCGGTCCCACCTGGACCCCGCCGCCCGTCGCCGCGGGCCGGGCCCACCTGGGTCCCGCCGCCCGTGGCCGCGGGCCGGGCACCTGAGCCCCGCCGCCCGTGGCCGCGGGCCGGGCCCACCTGAGCCCCGCCGCCCGCCGCCGCGGGTCGGGCCCACCTGGGCACGGGCAACATGTGCTGCGATGCATTTCAAACCATAGCTCAGTCATTGTTACACATGATGGCCTGAAACTTGGTACAGGCATTCTTCATAGTCTTATTTAGGACATGTTTGTCTTCATGTTCTCAAAATTTTGAGTCTGGGATCAAAAACTGATGAGTGTATTTTTTACCAATATTTTTGCTGTTTAACATGGCAATATTGCAATGCACAAAATAACACAATGGCAAGGCTTTTGGATGAAAGACTAATTACCTCATATTTTCCGTTTAAAATTTAAGACATGCTCTTTCTTTCGGCTTGTGAGTCAATTTGTCGTTGGTCATGCGCCTTTATCAATGAAATCGGCAGACATAACGTTACTCTGGCGTCACTGACGCTTGGTCTTTTATGGTCTCTTTACTCAACTCAACTTCATAGTCGAAGCCATCTTCGGCTATACGCTTCTGTGAAAAAATCGGCAAACATGACGCCACTCTGCCGTTCCTTACACTTAATCCTTTATGGTCTCATAATTGCTATTTTGGTGAAAGGCGTAAAAGTCATCAATTAATAGCAGCCGAAAATTTCGCAACGATATTTTAAAGCGCTGCTGGGTTATCGCAAGCATCGACGTGGGGGGAGGGCAGATCCGACCCCGATCAATGCTGGGTTTACAAGATTGTCCAAAATGGAAAAGGAGGGAAGGCTCCCCTATCCGCTGTCTTTTCCAGCCGTGCGCAATGACCTCAAACCAATCACCACCCATTTTCTACCGGTGCGTGATGACCTGAAGCCAGTCACCACCCGTTTTCTACGGGTGCGGGATGGCCTCCAGCCAGTCACCACACGTTGAACCTAACAAAGGCCCCTCCTCCTCCCCTCCAACTGCAGCGGCAGCCATACCCCGCACATTCTCCCTACCTCGCTCACCCAAATGTCTCATCCTACTCCGTAAGACACGGGTCAGCCCTGAGCCCTCCCGCGTCCCCCCGTGGAGCGTATGGAATGAGGGGAAGGGTGACCCGATGACTGACCTTGAGACGAGACAAGGCGGCATTGTCCCGCAGGTACTGGACGATGCTCGGTTGAATGTCCAGCCTCTGCTGCCTGTGGAACTCAGCCCTGCGAACGAGCTGCCCGCCGGTTACCGGGCCGCTCAGAGGCTGAGCCGCTGCCTCTGAGTCAGAGGACCCAGAAGCCGCTGCCTCTAAGTCAGAGGACTCAGAAGCCACTTCCTCCAAGCCAGAGGCTTCAGAAGCCTCCGCCGGAGGCGCGGCGGCGGCGCCGTATGCTCGCGCACATGCAGTCTGCGGAGAAAATGGAAACTGTATCGAAAGCAGCTAGTTGTTATATATACATACATGTATGCATATATATACATGTATATACACACACACACACACACACACACATATATATATATATATATATATATATATATATATATATATATATATATGCATATGTGTGTGTGTGTGTGTGTGTGTGTGTGTGTGTGTGTGTGTGTGTGTGTGTGTGCGTGTGTGTGTGCGTGTGTGCGTATGTGTGTGCGTGTGTGCGTGTGCGTGTGCGTGTGCGTGTGCGTGTGCGTGTGCGTGTGCGTGTGCGTGTGCGTGTGCGTGTGCTTGTGCGTCTGCGTGTGGGGGGGTTGAACTGAAATAGCCATGTTCAAGGGCATTCGGTGCAGTTCATAACCCTGCACTTCTTAAGATCTAAGTCCTCCTAGCGCTTTAGGCACACACTCGCAAAAATGTGCAGGCTATTTCGAGGAGACTTTTCTGGGTCACCCATACATCCATGACGTCATAAGAACGTCATTTAAATCCTGCCACCTCATTACCCATGAGGCAATAAGGGCCAAGACAAACATAATGGTCGGGTCGTTCATTTATGGCGTTCGTGAGCACAATTTCCAGAGACAGCGATCGTCAATTGGCTCTTCATCAATGTCGTGCAAGGTACGATGACATGACCAAATAATGGCATATTGAGGGGCGTACGTGCTAAACAGAGAAATTGTGCTGTCTAAAGCAGTCTCAGCCACTTAAGAGTGTACCAACAAATATAAGTGAGCTCATTTCATCATATCAGGTGCTTGCTCCAATATCTCCAAATGTGGAACATTTCCCTTAAAGAACGCAGTATCTCCATACTCACCAAGTGATGCGGTACCATGTCATTCCAGCACTTAATACTGGCGACGAGACTGATTTTAGAAATAGCAGCTATCAATTATCGTTAGAGAAGATGAATGTTTTCCACGAGTTGCCAAAAGTCGGCAGTTCGCTGATTGTCATCAGTCTGGCTGCCAGAGTAACTATGTCACATAATAGGCGTAGGCTTTGCAGCGTGCACTTGGGTGCCATCAGATTTGACTGAAGTGCCTTACCCCCTCGCCGGTGGAGGACGCAGACGGCACACTTTCTGCGAGACAGAACAAGTTGCATTAGTTTATCGCGACAGGCTTTCAATTGTTACATACTCACATTAATATGGCTAGATTTGGTAAGCTAATAACTTAAGTGACTTCGCTCGACCAGGGTAAGTTTTTAAACACGAGTTTGCTTTTCCGCAGCACTAATAAGCGATGGTAGCGGATGTGCGTCAAATGTTGCCCTCACCTTGAGCCTCGACAGCCCAATACAGCCAAGCAATGTCCAAACAGGGCAATCGATCTCACGCGACGATCGGAACAACCAGATCATTGGCGAGACAGATTCCTGTCGTAAAACAATGGCAAGACGATGCGCTATTCAAGTGTGTAGAAAAAGGTCACAAAACAACATGCAACAAGCTGACTTTGTCATTAAGAAAGGCCTATGCCCAATTAGGGAATAAATTGTCACAAACCACATCCTTGTTCTAAGATTCAGCTAGCCTCCACGTCATGCACGAATACGTCATGCATCGATAACATTGGGGAGGCTAAGTGAACACGCTCCCAACGCCCTGCTCCGCGTCCGTTGGCTGGACCAAAAGAGTCGACGAAAAAAACGGCTCCCGGAGCTTCACCTAATGTACAGAGCTACCTTGCACGCGACCTGCTTGCTTTCTTCCCACGCCAAAGTGGGACACCCACCCGCGTCTTCATTTTCATAATCATCATCGTCGTCGCCGTCCGCATCATTGGGGCACTCTGCTGAGCTGTCATTCGAGCACGTCGTCTCATCCTGGCTGATCACGTCGTCCTCATTGGGGTGGTATGTTTCGTTCTGGCTGAATAAAGGTCTGCCCGGTGTCTGCTGAGCGCTGCCCTGCATGTGGTCTGCTCCACCCTGGCTGTCGTTCCCTCCAGCTGGGGGGTCGCCTTCTTCATCCGAGCCTTTCTCTTCACTGATCAGGAGCGCCATCTGCCGGTAGAAAAACGAACGTACGGGCTCAGTTCGCGGCCGGTGAAGGCGCCTTAAAGCAAAGGTAACCGGAACTGGATGGGCATGAGTCTTGCAGACAGCAAAAGCCAGCGGCATGACTTGAACATTATGGATAGCGCCTTACGCGGTGTCGACTGTTTGGTAAGGTAGAGCAACAAACGCTTTGTCAACAGACAATTTATCTGTGATGCTATTTTTTCCTTACGAGGAACACGCCAGGATAGGTTTTCTGTCGCTGACGAGCACGGCAGTGCATGAGTTTGTAAAGTTGAAATAGTGCGATTTTCCGGAAAATTTAACATTCCGCCTGGTATGACGTGGTCAATTTTAACCTCAGCGGCATCAGACCTATCGCCACTCGTGAAATCTTGATAAGCCCAGTCCACCGATGTCTCCGGTAATCTCCAGTAATCTCCGGTAATCTCCGGTAATCTCCGTGTTTCTTAATTTGGAAACGACAGGTGGTTGCTTCCAACCCGCCCCCCAAAAGCCAACCCCTATCAGTCAGCGTTATGAAAAACGGCGAATCAGGGCGAGAGGAAAGCGAAAGTTAATTTAAAAGGATTGTTCCACGTTTGGAAATATTGAAGCGAATAGCAGATGTGATGACATGAACTCACTTCTAACCATTGGTATACTTCTAAGACGAAAAGACTGCCCTAGACAACACAGCTTCCCTCTTTAATAAATATGTTCCTCAATACGTCATTGGCTGCTTGCGTCATGGAACGCTTGTATGACATTGAGATGCTGCCAAACTAGCTGTACAAAATTGCCACCCCCGCACCCACTTGAAGTACTTCAATCTTCCGAAAAGTGGCCGTGGCGGTGCCGAAGGTGCGGCCGCGGCAGAGTTGGAGGCGTGACAGTGGCGATACCGGAGGCGTGGCCGTGGCGGTGCTGGAGGTGTGGCCGTGGAAATGTCGGAGGTGTGGCCATGGCAGTGCCGGAGGTGTGGCCATGACAGTGCTTGAGGTGTGGCCGTGGCGGTGCTTGAGGTGTGGCCGTGGCGGTGCTGGAGGTGTGGCCGTGGCGGTGCTTACCGAAGTTCGTTATGCACTCGTGTTTTGATCCTTTCTCGTACTATTTTTGCATATCTATCCGTGAGTTTAAGGTGTTTCCTTGTATTCATAAGCAAAGATGTCCAGCTGTTCGCATTATGTAGCACAAACCGCGATCCATGGTTGAAACTGGCTCGGCCTGCTCAAGGTCGATGGGCAGCCAAAGGGCGTCCATTTTATCGGGAAATCGTGACCACGAACGCCAGATACGAACAGCCTAACGATTATATTCTTGTTGGCTCTGAACGCCACATGGCCAATGGGTTGGCAGGCTTTGAATTACGTTTCTATGGTGTCATGCTTGTCTGAATGACGCTGAAGGCCCGCTCAAAATAGCCTGCATATTCTCGTGGGCGTAAAGCTAAGAAAACAGAAAGTTTTAGTTGTAGATCTGAAGAGGGACCCTGCTGTGAACTGCACCGAATAATCTTCAATAGCTGCTTTAGTTCAAACCCTTATAGAAATGTTGCACACCCCATTTAACGAAAAGGAAAGGAAGAATAGAGATGAGAGACGGTCCCAGCAGATAGCATGTTCCACCTGTTGCAAATGTATTTCACCATAGGTAGCTTGCCCCGGCGCTAGAGCAACTGATTGATCTTGAGCACACAGATAATACCCTTTGTCTCAAGACCGTGCATGTTCAGCATCATGCTGTTACCCTCTGGGAAAACCTGTCGGAGCTTAGAAACATACGATAGGAAACCTCTACCTGGAAACAATACCAGACGCGCAAACCTAGCCCTTGTCAACCGCTACTCCTCGATGCGGAATGACCCAGCCAGCGCCCACACAACAGAATGGGAGCATTCGCGGTCAGGAGCAGTGGATACGCCGGAGACAGCTGACTACACTATGACGTCACGGATGACGCGGCCTCACCTCGTCTTCCGAGAGTGGACGAACGTGCGGGAATTGCAGGAGAAGACGAACCACTTCCACATACCCATTCAAAACCGCCTCCACCAGGGCTGATGAGCCGCCCTGGGGATTGGATAGAAAGGCACCGGTCAGAAATCGCCACGCTTTTAGGCGCTTTTAGGCGCCCGGCTTCGAAGCATTGGTCATTTCCACGCTGGCGTAGAGTGCATGCATTTCATAAATGCAACGTCACGCACTGGCAAGTTTGGCAACGGCATCGTTGCGTTCTTGCTAATTCAAAGACAGGCCATTTAATAAATGCCAAGAGGGAAGCAGTTCGCTGCGACAGGTACCCAGGGACACTCGACGCCAAGCCAGTCTGGCCTCGGCCTGGCGTGTTGGGAGCGGGGCGGCACGTGGGAGCAGGCGGCCCGATCACCCCGGGCTCAGCGCTCCGGGGGGCCGACCTGCCGACGGCGACCCAGAGTGGTGGTGCCCCCCCCCCCCTCACAGCCAACCAGGGTCTCGGCGTACGCCGGTTGCGGGTGGCCAGCCCGGGCCTCGGCACACGCCGGGTGCGGGTGGCCAGCCCCGGCCTCGCCACACGCCGGGTGGGGGTGGCCAGCCCGGACCTCGGCACACGCCGGGTGGGGGTGGCTAGCCCGGGCCTCGGCACACGCCGGGTGGGGGTGGCCAGCCCGGGACTCGGCACACGCCAGGTGGGGGTGGCCAGCCCGGGCCTCGGCACACGCCAGGTGGGGGTGGCCAGCCCGGGCCTCGGCACACGCCGGGTGGGGGTGGCCAGCCCGGGCCTCGGCACACGCCGGGTGGGGGTGGCTAGCCCGGGCCTCGTCACAAGCCGGGTGCGGGTGGCCAGCGACGGCTCTCGAGCAGGGCAGCGTCACGGCGTGATGGAGGGCCCGCCCGCGCACCGGAGACGCTGCAGACACCACTCTCCTCGTGCTGAAATGAACTGCTGACAGCGGGGGTGATAGCCAGCCCGGCCAGAGGGTTCGTCAGCAGGCCGATCGGATGATAGCCTCTCGCACACGCCTGCCCAACAGATATGGGCTAACGCTCGTTGCCACCATTTCATCCGTCCTCAGAGTTGCAATCACGCTCTCTCCAGCCTGCCCGGCCCGAGTCGTCTGAGCCGTCCAACGATTAGAGAATTACTCCCCCCCCCCCCCCCCCCCACTCCTCCCCTCTACTTTGTGGACTAGTCCACTATAACAGACTTAGAGAGCTATTATGTTGGGAAAGCCCGCGGACATTCGAATGGGATGTGTGACGGATTAGATCGGGTTAATGGATATGTGACGGATATGTGACGGGTTGGGATGTGTAGCGAACTTGGAATGTATAACGACTGGGTAGGCTGTTAAATGGATATGTCAAGAAACACTGCAAGATGCTACTTTTCGGCCGCCATTAGTAATAATCGCTCAAGTCACACTACTATCGCAGCACGCATCGCAAGCTAACAGGGCTAGGCGAACACTTTCTTGGAACGTTTCACAAATATAGAACTACAGTGCTGGAAACATGCACAAGTTTTGGTAACGCGCGTGTTCAGCACCCGTAACCAAAACTGGTCGCGCATAACGGGTGTGTGAAATGGGTGTGGGAATATACAGTGGATGGGTATGGACACGGCTCCATGGGTAGCGGGTGGAGCGGACAAAGGAAATCTTACCCCTGCAAATGTCTTCCACCCAATGTTCATTCCACCCCGCCTCCAGTACCGTGCCCCCTCCCCTGAGAGCAGCCTTCCCTCCTCTCCGGGCCGCGTCAGCTGAGCGCTGCACAATCCAGCGTCGCCAGCCAGGCCAGCTCGCGCCCTCGCCGGAACGTCAGGCCCGGCCACGGCGGCCACCTGCCTTGAGCCGGTGCGTGGGGTCGGCTCCGCGCAGCAGCAGCAGGCGGACAGTGTGGTGCCAGCCGCCGCGGCAGGCCAGGCTCAGAGGCGTGACCGTGTTGTCAGGAGAGGGCCGGTTCACGTCTGCGCCCCAGCCCAGCAACAGCAGCACGACGCCGCTGTGGCCTTCAACAGCCGCCTCCATCAGCGCCGAGCGGTTGCAATGGTTCAGCGCCTCCTGCAGGCCGGCGGAGGCACGTGTGAGGAGGTCACGTGACGATCTGAAAACACTGGGCTGGCTGAGAACGAGTGGTAGCGAGACTCGATGTAGACGCATGCATTGGAGAGTGATGTTTGGCTGTGTAGGTCCTTATACTTCCATATGGACCACGTCGAAACACGTCCATCGAGAGAGAGCGCTGGCCATGTCTGGACGCTTGACAGTGGGGATCGCTTACCACATCGGCGCCGTGCTCCAGCATGACCAGCCCCACCGCCGCCTGGCCGTGCCGGGCTGCCTTGATCAGTGCCGTGTCTCCGTCACTGTTGCGATGCTGCACCGGAACGCCCAGTTCCAGCAACCAGCTGCGAAGAGCGCAGCCGTCGGATAAACCTCTCACAATCAGCGGTCAGATGTCACAGGCATGGCGCTCGATCTGTCAGTGTTGGTAACTGCGGGATCGAGTCTCATTACGGGCGGTGTTTCTCCAGGCATGGAGAAGAGACTGGTATGGCCAGCTCCGCTGCCAGGGAGATTGGCATGATATCAAAGCGCATTACTGGCGTGCTAACAGGTGTGCAAAGGGTAGGCACAATCCAGAAGCGTCAGTATGTAGAGGTAAGTTTCATACAGGTCCTGCAAAGAGCCCAAGCGTTCGTACCAGTCCCATACTAAAAATTGTCTCAAGTTTCGTAGAGACTTAACTCACATTACTTCAGTAGTCTCAAAACGTAACACGGAAACTTCGAAGTTTTTGATGAGGCAATGAGAGGTTTTATGGCGAAATGTCGGCTTTCTTGATTATCTCCAGTGTATTATATTTCCGTTGTCAGCGGCCTGTATCAGAGATGACGTAAATAAAGTGAACACGTCTAGCTCCAGTCCACGGCACCGGCAGCCTGCATTAAATACTCAGATTTACCTGACGATCCTGTCCTTGCCTGTACGTGCGGCCTCAAACAGCGGCGAGGCAGTGCAGTTGTTGATCTCGGCTCCGTCCTGTGAAAGTGACCCAGACACGAGTGTCAGCTGTGACGAGCACTGTGACGGGAAGCGCTGGAGGCAGTGGGGGATGTCGAGTACTTCCCGCGTACGCAGGCCGAGTGTCAGCTGTGACGAGCACTGCGACGGGAAGCGCTGGAGGCAGTGGGGGATGTCGAGTACTTCCCGCGTACGCAGGCCGAGTGTCAGCTGTGACGAGCACTGTGACGGGAAGCGCTGGAGGCAGTGGGTGATGTCGAGTGCTTCCCGGGGATGCAGACCGAGTGTCAGCTGTGACGGGCACTGTGACGGGAAGCACTGGAGGCAGTGGGTGATGTCGAGTGCTTCCCGGGGATGCAGACCGAGTGTCAGCTGTGACGGGCACTGTGACGGGAAGCGCTGGAGGCAGTGGGTGATGTCGAGTACTTCCCGCGTATGCAGACCGAGTGCTTTGATGGATTCCTTGCAACGGTCTGTGTCGATGATCGACGATGATATCAGACACGAAGTTAAACCTAGGTCAGAACCGAGAATTACGGATGTCGACGATGGCAGCGTAAAGTCACTAGCTGCATTGATGGCGATTGGTGCGTGCCGCCACAGAAAGCGCGCCACAACACATCCGGAATCATCATTGGAGGCATTTGCGAGTGCTCTCAATCATTTTTGCTTACTCATGATTAATAACTGGCTGACCTCCCATTTTGGAGCATACACCGCATGACACAGATACGTGGCCGTCCCGTTCAGTTGGAAATTCCCAAAGACCATGACATAAAAACACGCGGTCTCGCGGCATGCCGTTTTATCCTATTCGTCATAATCTACAAGCTTCTTGCAAACACACAACGGTGGTTTAAAATGTTAAACGTTACTTCCACTCGAATACTTTTTAGGGAGCTGATTGCTGATGGCAGAGAGTGACTTTGCATAGAACAATGTTCTCTCCAGTCTGCCTGGGAACAGCGTGTTCTGACAGTGAGTGCCGTGTGCCGGGGTCTCCCAGAAGTCATGACCTTGACCAAGATGCGGGCCGTCTCCAGGTATCCATTGGCGCACGCCATTGACAGCGCCGATCTCTTGCCGTCCTCCGTGATGAAGTTGACGTTGGCACCATGCGAGAGCAGAAGGGTCACCAACTCACTGAGCCCTTTTCTGGAGTAGGGAAGGGACACGTCGTCAGCGTCTAGAGACTTGGACTTGGAGACTTTCGCGTTACCCTCACGTTAGGAGGATCATGCTGGTTTACCTTGCACGTATTGTTTCGACATTATCCTGGGCTGTATTGTTGAATATGTGGTAGTCAGCTTTTCATGTATCTCATGTCACGTCATGTCATGTCATGTCACCGGCCGCGATGTCACCGGTCTAAACTCACGTGACCGGAGGTTTACATGGTTACAAAGCGGAAAACGCGTCGCTTCGTGAAACACTCCTTCATCGTACGTCCCTTGTTCTCGTACGTTGTGGTTCAGAATGTGTGAGAGTTATTATTTATACATACATATATATATATATATATATATATATATATATATATATATATATATATATATATATATAATGCATATCATCAGTGTTATTACCTGCAAAAAGGCTATTCCGGGTTTGGGGTTGCAAAACTTTACGTTAGTGTCAATTGTGCCAATTCCGCCCTTGCAACCTTCATGTCGTGCATCCAAATTACTGACACGTTCGTAGTGATGCCAACGCCATGGCCATTTAAGCGTCATTTTTGAGAACAACCTAAAACAATGCCGCAAGGTATTTTCGGTACCTATGTTGCTGTGTTATTACTGCTTAAGTGATCAAGACTGCAAATACAAGTTACCAAGGGTCAAGTTCAAGATGATGGACCATATAATAGCCTCGGATATTTTATCCTGGAAATAACTAATGACACGGTGGGACAGGAAGCAGTAAGGCTATGGAAATATATCAAGAGCCTAGCTGGGAATCTTCGCGTCATTTAACCCCGTCTGATCCCACCAGACAGGCCCACTGCCAAAAGCATGAGTAGAGCTGTAGAGAAGGTGAAACATAGAACTACAACCAGCATGATTTTCATCTGCGCTATCACAGGGCGTGTGGAATCGGTACAAGGCCCTGGCCACCACCGATGCGCTGCAGAGAGCGGCGAGACCATCGAGACGGTAAGGGTCAAAATCGCCGCCACTGCAGGTCAGCCCCGGAAGGAAAGGAGCAGAATGTAATACTAACCAAAACATTCACACAGCAAAGCACAAACATTATTTATCCATGCTGCTGCTTGTTTTAATCAAAGTGTCCCACCTTTGGGGCATGCTACAAACACTTTATTGAAACCTCAGGACCAGTTGCATTTGGTAATATCATTGGGTAGTGCTTCTGCAGCACCTGCAGCACCGTCAAGACGTAAAAAGGGTATCAGCCTAAAATTATCTAATGGTCCAAATTACATGTCAACGCTTTTGAACAGCATTGCTACTACACTTCTTCCCTGCAGTCGCGACGACCGCCGTCAAGACAACCACCGTGCTCTGTGATGAACACTATAGGGGAGAGATCAAAGCCGTAGTATGATGCTTCGTCAAATTCGCAGGATAATAGCTAAATGTTCGCATGTATTTTTGCCTGCGCAAAGTGTTTCAACCTTTCGTAGAATTCATTATGCAAACATTTTAACCAATAAGTTGGTCGCAATCACTAGAGAACACACGCGTTGGAAAAACAATGCAAATGAAATGTACTATCGTCATAGTGGTGAACAGGCAGTCCAATGAGATTTCTTCCGCAGGAACGGCTGCGTAATCAAAATTTTCAGTTTTTTTCAGACGAGCAGAGCACAGAAAGCCGGGATGCTCTCTTTAAGAATCTACGGACCCATCTAGACGATTATTTGAACAACATTTTCTAAATTGGCCTTACATATGTATTGTATTTGTACATATGGTTGCCGAACAAATCACTCTCCATCGGCTCTAAAGCCAGCCGACTTAACCCCCAGCTACCTAGCTACACGACCGCCCTTCCCAATGCACACTTGAAACAGATCAGGAATTCTTTGAAATTTAGAGCTTCACGGCCTCTGGAACAGGTTTCTCCAATAATGTGCCAATCTTTTTGGCCTGCGGGCGGCCACTGACCTGGCCACCTCCATTAAGGCTGTGTGTCCTGCTTGGTTAACTTTTTCTGTGTCGACGCCTTTGCTGAGCAGCAGTCGGACTATCTCCAGATGGCCACGTTGCGCTGCCAGCAGCAGCGGCGTGTCTGGACTGTCCGGCGGCTCCGTCGGCTGCGATCAGAGGCCAGGGTCAGTTCAAAGATCAGGTCAGGACCACGGTCACGTGTGAAATCGAGGGCATCCTCTTCCCTATAGGAGTGATTAGGGTCACGATCACGGGGATTAGGGGTAAGAGGTCAGGTCACACGTCGGAAGCCACTGACCCGGGGTCGAGTCCAGTGCCAGGGTCATCCCCTACTCAACGGGTCAGACTAGGGTCAAGAGCTCAGGGTCAGATATAAGATATCAGGTCACACGCTGAAGGCCACTGATCCGAGGTCGAGCTCGGGCGTGAGGGTGGGGCACCGATGGTTACGTGTCAGAGGACGGCGACCGAAGACTACGTACCAAGACGGCAGAATCATGTTTCACGGATCGGGTCCGAATTTACATGATGAAGACCACTTCTCTGAAGTAAAGAACCATCACCAGCAATCACTTTTCCTGTGCTCATAATATTCGTGAAAAAGCACCGAAAACAATGTTAATGGCATTAAATATATTTCACTATAATTTGTGTTACACATTTCATTTCTAGCCGGAGGATGAAAATGTGATTATTATGATGGTGTGGGCCTGGGAGGGAGAGAGCCTGGGTCAAGTCGAATCAAGTCTAGTCGAAAAATTATAGAACCGACAGCGACTGAGACTCTAAGGGGCTGAATTCATTCCAACCGGTAGTCGCCACACCAGCTGTGAGCATTGGTAAGACCACTACGGTTATCGACCTGTCCCCACCACCCGAAGACCCACAGTCTGCGGGCGACGGGCGGTCGGCGCTGGGGGCCTGCCCATCGGTGTGTGGTCCGCACCTGAGCACCGCCGTTGATGAGCAGCCGCACCACCTCCAGGTGGCAGCCATCGCAGGCCACCATCAGCGGTGTGTAATTCAGGAGGTTCTGGTGCTCCACATGCGCGCCCGCCATCAGCAGAAGGCGCACTATCTCTGCGCTGCCCCGCTCACAGGCTGCGGTTAGCGCCGAGTACTGCGAGGAGGGGGACGGTGAAACCAGTCGGTCAAACCTCTCGGACTGTTCCGGAGCAACGTCTTGGAGAGTCACGTGTTTATTTACGCGTGTCAGCATTATGGTCTTGGGCAAGCATCACCAATTTTACAAATCGAAAAGTGCTTGAATGCGACACTAAGTGGCTGTGATGGACGCTGTAAAAATAAGCCTGTCGAGAAGAGAAGATGAATGATAGTATGATATGATATGTCACATTAGTGACATTCACATCACTAGTTATGATATGTCACATTACACATTTAACACTAGTTATGCCATAAACTTGATAAACTAGTCATGTCATAAACTAAAGGTGGATATTAACAATCTGCTTGACGAGCACAAAATATTCGAGCTTCAAAACACATAGCTCTGACAGGCGTACTGTTTTACTCAAATATCACAGTCAGTATCGAAGTCCTATCACCAAAGATACGAAGCCGTGCCCATCTGCTTCGTTGCACCTCATCCCGTGCCATAAAGAGCGTACCTGTTCCCAACTAGATATAGCGTTCACTTGAGCACCCTTCTCCACCAAATACTGAAACAGGACACAGTTATGGTCAGCCCGCAAACCCTACTCCCCGTCAAAGCTGGGCTAACTGAAGTGTTTGTGAGGGGATTTGCATGAGAAGAAGAAACATCAGAGACTCGCGCAGAAATTCCGAAACAGATCACCGAAGGTTTGAAGGAGCCTGCCGACGGCATTGCAGCTGGTCGTCTTGCCTCCCATGGGATAGAACTTGGAGAAAAGCAGATGAACCGTTGCTGTGTCTCACAGGTTATGACCGATCATTTCCGAGCTGACAAAAAGGACATATGCTGGTACTAACCAGTGCACATTTGTAGTTTGATGCTCTAAAAAGGCAGTCTGAAATCCAGAAAGACGTCTGTGGCGTGGAACAAGCGGATGGCAGGAGACATGCGTGTACACTGCCACGTAATAAGTGGAGCCTGTCGCGTTTGGGAACTAACACAAATCGATGCTGACAGTGCTCTGGAATGACGCTCAGGTGGCTATTATTCGTTCATAACACTTCCGCACCTATTTGCGAGTAACGATGATGGAAAAGTGGCAGGATTTGATCCTGTCATCATCAGTGACATCTGGTTACGATCCGCCTTTTCCGTCTTTTTCGGGACGGGCAAAACGTATGTTTCTATAGTAATCGAATGACCTGATGATACCAATACATTGCGACATGGGAGGAAGATCGAGCAGGCTGTGTGAAAATTTGCCAAAAAAGTAACATAAAGTTTCAAACGATTATGGCGGAATGACTGGCACGGGCAAATACACAAGCCTGAGGGCTGACTGGGCGGACCGTGCGGAACGTTGAAGCTACAATATCCTCGGCTATGCGACGCAAAGAGAGCGCGGTCGACTGCCTCGCTGAGAACCAGGGTGGTAAATAAATGACGCCGCCCCCACACCCCATCCATAAAACTTAAGTGCCTCACAACACAACCTGGCCACTCTGCTGCCAGCGGAGACGGGAGCCTGACGTGACAGCGGGCTGCTGCCAGCGGGGCCGGAGGTCTGACGTGACAGAGGGCTGCTGCCAGCGGGGCCGGAGGTCTGACGTGACAGAGGGCTGCTGCCAGCGGGGCCGGAGGTCTGACGTGACAGAGGGCTGCTGCCAGCGGGGACGGGGGTCTGACGTGACAGAGGGGCTGCTGCCCGCGGGGCCGGGGGTCTGACGTGACAGAGGGCTGCTGCCAGCGGGGCCGGGGTCTGACGTGACAGAGGGCTGCTGCCAGCGGGGCGGGGTCTGACGTGACAGAGGGCTGCTGCCAGCGGGGACGGGGTTGACGTGACAGGGGCTGCCAGCGGGGACGGGGGTCTGACGTGACAGGGGGCTGCTGCCAGCGGGGACGGGGGTCTGACGTGACAGGGGGCTGCTGCCAGCGGGGCCGGAGGTCTGACGTGACAGGGGGCTGCTGCCAGCGGGGCCGGAGGTCTGACGTGACAGAGGGCTGCTGCCAGCGGGGCCGGAGGTATGACGTGACAGGGGGCTGCTGCCAGCGGGGCCGGAGGTCTGACGTGACAGGGCTGCTGCCAGCGGGGCGGAGGCTCGTGACGAGGGGTGCTGCCAGCGGGGACGGGGGTCTGACGTGACAGAGGGCTGCTGCCAGCGGGGACGGGGGTCTGACGTGACAGGGGGCTGCTGCCAGCGGGGCCGGAGGTCTGACGTGACAGGGGGCTGCTGCCAGCGGGGACGGGGGTCTGACGTGACAGAGGGCTGGCCCGGGTGTCAGCTGTTCACGGACAGGCCGGAGACCGAGGCTGTCCGTACCTGGACGATCTCCGTGTGTCCGAGAGCTGCAGCTGTAACCAGTGCTGTCTCGCAGCCGGGGCCGCACTCGTCTTCCAGGCGTGCGCCAGCCTCGACCAGGGTCCGGACCACTTGCACGTGGCCTCCCATGATGGCGTACGTCAGGGCCTGGTACACTGCGGCCAGAGCACATGAGTCGGCCAAGCTGGATAGCCCCAACACGTTAGTCCGCCAAGATGGAGGAACCCGTTCACAAGACAGCATAAAGGGGACGTATGCAAGTCCCTCGGAAACTGCCAACAAGCGTTAAGATCTTCAGAAGTGTAACATGCGCATTACATGCATATAAAAAGACGTATATTTGGGCCGTCCACGAGTACAATACAATGCAATACAATACAAAAAAAGGAATGAGGCACAAATCTAAACAAAAATGAAAAGCGCTGCTATAAAACAAGGGAATGTAGGATGCTGACAAAAATTAATGGGTACCAAAGCCGACAGGCGTGCCGTAGATCAACACGGAATAACCGGACAAAGCTGTTAACAAACACAAAAGTGCTGCCCGAGGTACCCAGCAGGTGGCGGCCCGTGGCGATGGCTCTTACTGGGAGCCAATTTTGGCGGCAGCGCGTTATCCAGGGGGACTGTGTGCCAGCAGACGTGCCGTTTGCCCACCTCGGTTCGAGGCCCGTGTGGCCCGGTATGCCACTCGCGCCTAAAGGCTAATACAGAGAGCTTGCAAGCGAGCAAGTCCCCGCATCCCACGAACACAGAATGCCATATGAGCCAAAGTACTAGTGTGATACGAAAGCAGTGAGGCTCCTCAATAATCTAAGCGTTGATCAATGTCACTCAATCTTTTGCGCCCGTAGATTACTTAAATAAAGATGGTTTGGGCGTGATGTTTCACCGACCGCGAAAGCCACTTCGAGACGTTTATAAGGCTCCATGTGGGATGCGCTAATCGTGCTGCAGAAACTACAGCCCAGGACCGACAGGACCAAGGCCAACCATCTCAGGCATTACACCACATCCCCATTCTCTTCAGATCATTTTGCCGAAAAGTAAGTAATTTCCCGACTTCTACAAACTTTACAACGGGTGTCCATCGCGTAAATAGCTATGCAGTGAAGAATCTGCGAAAGCAGCAAAACGTTGACTAACATAAAGCCAAAGGCAGGAAAAAGGCAGAGTTTCGGGACGTATCCAAGGAGAGGTGAGATGAGGCACGGGGCATATCCCTCTTATCAGGTTTTCACTATATTCTGTCATGGACGTGCGTTCGGATGAACAGCAGCGGTAGCAAATCGTAGAAGGCGCGTCGAAAAAGACTGTAAGCCTGAGCTATCGCGGTACGCCTTGTGACCACGGCTGCAGCTTCATGACCTGCCAAACAAAGTTTTAGCAGTCTTATCTTTTACAAAATCATGCTTAAGCCGTGATAGTTTCTGAGACGTGGCAGATCCTGACCAAAGCACACAATGGGATCTACTGCATATGATAATTTTAGTAGACAGAACATTCTAAAACTAGTCAGAGATCGCAAGCTTTCCTTAGTAGACAGAACATTCTAAAACTATTCAGAAGTCACAAGCTTTCCTTAGTAGACAGAGCTTTCTAAAACTGGTCAGAAATCATAAGCTTTCCAACACCCACAATGTTTGCTTGCGGTGCTACGCCCGTGTGACTGACCTGTATACGTATCTTCGTAGAAGAGATGGTCGACATTGACGTCGACACCCTCCCGCAGCAGGTCGACAACTGCCGGGTGCGAGCCTTGGAAGCTGGCGTTTAGCAGCTCCTTGTTCATCATCTCCGCCGGTCTCCTCGCCATCCTCAGCGCGTCGCTATCTGATATTGTGCGCACACTTGGCCGCCCCTCGGGACCGGAAGAGGTCTGCTGAGGAGGAAGGAAACTCAGTTAAACGGCTGACTAGCAAAGCGTCACATTGCTAGCAGCTGGAGAAGGTTACGCCATTGGCAGTCTTGAGCCTGCCGTCGGCCGGGTCGGACGCTCAGCGTCCCGCTCCGCATCGCTCCGAGCGATCTGGGTTCAATGCGGTACGGCTAGCCTGAGTCCGTGGCGCGCGGCTCGTGACGCTTAGCGTGAGATTGACGTGACAACGCGCGGGATCCACGAGAATGTCGGCCTCGGAGTCCAACCTCAGCGACGCACGGGAAGAACCTGTACACCTGCCACCAGCTTTGGAACGGAAGAGGCAGCGCTCCATCGGCGAAGTGATTGAAGCGCTCGAGTCCACGAGAAACCGAACAACGCCGCAACAGCCACATGTAAAGACTGGAACATTTTGGACGAATTCCAGGCAATGAATAAATCCATCCATCGATGATGCAGCGTCAAGTTTTTTGGGGAGCAAAATGGAGGTCAAATCGTCATCGTACGGGACCAAGTTTGAAAAACTGGAAAGCACAGTCTTTGAATGGAACCAGGGCATAGAAAGTTTAGAAAACGAGCTGAACGAGTGCAAAAATTTTTTGATGCGTATCATAATCAAGTCGAAGGGCTTAAGCGTCATAGTCGCTCTGCTACCCTAATCATGACGAGCGAATGTTTCGGAAAGTATTGGCGTGGAGGAGAAGTTGAGAGTATGACAATTTCAACGCTACGCGCATGTTTCCCGACCAAGACCATCAGAGAAGGCGATTTATCAGTCATCTACCGCTTGCTGAGAAATATTACCGTGATTTGCGCGTTCAAGTACAGAAAACTGCGCATTGAACTATTTAGCGAGCGGACCAACATGAAAAAGGAAACAGACCTTAAGAAAATGACAAGAAAAGGTAATACCTTAACGATTCCCCTACGAAATCACAAGCAGGCAATTTACGATCGACTTCTCCAGCTCAAGCAAGGCAACAAAATCTGGACAACATTCACGAAAAGCGGCATACCTGTGTTCAAAAGCTTCCAGAAGTCCCGCCCTTTAGCGTCCACTCCATAAAACAGCTGAACACCACTGTGCGCGGGACGCCTCAGGCGCGGTCCGCGGGCGGGTGCACTGACTGCAGAGGCGCGCTCAGGATGATCGGGGTCAGACGCCAGCAGCCCTGGCACCCAGCGGCCCACCGCTGCTGCGCCGGCTAGCCGTGCCCCGCCAGGTGGCTCGGGGCCTGCAGCAACGTTGCGGTCTGGAGCCTCGCCACCCGGGCCGGTGGTGCTGCTGTGGCGGCTGCTGGCGCGGCGACGGCTACTGTTGTGCTGGTGGCTGGCTCTGTTCGGCGGGTCTACACCTGCCGAGCTGGTGGCTGGCTCTGTCCGGTGGGTCTACACCTACGGAGCTGGTGGCTGGTTCTGTCCGGCGGGTCTACACCTACGGAGCTGGTGGCTGGCTCTGTCCGGCGGGTCTTCATATGCGAAGCTGCAGGCAGGGGGATCGTCGGCAGCTGGCCCGTCGCCTGCCCTGACGCTGGCGGCTACCGCGTCTGCCAGGGATGCGCCCACCACTGGGGCGGCCGGTCGTCGTGGGAGTGACGCGTCTGTCATGCAGTGATGGGTTTTCGATCTTTGCGGGCTAGACTGGAGTCTAGTGGTTGGTAGGTGTGTTAGATATTTTTAATGTGCAAATGCTGTCTTTTCGTTCTGTGCGTATGTCAAGGTTTGCTCACATTGCCTGTTCACTCTTCTGCTTCATATCACCCGTTATAATACTTTTGTTTGTTACGTAGTTCGTTTGGCCTTAGACACTGTTTTTCATTACCTTCAGTAAGCAATATTGAACTGCATAACCCATTTTAACTACGGTGCTACCATGCTGAAGGTGGCCGGTGTTTCGACGCATGGTGGTTAAAAATCCCCCACCGGACGTGACACACTGATGGCGCCGGCTGCCGGACGCTGGCGCCAGCTTGCGGAAGCCCCAGTCACCTGGCTACCGTGCCATATGTAGGCGCTGGCAGCTGGTGCAGCTGTTCGATCCATGAACCTTGCGGGGAACGACTCTCCGAAACAGCTACACCAGCTGCCGGCGCCTTCGGCGTTTGATTCGTTATCATGGGAGTTTGTTACGACTCGGAAAAATGTTACTTTGGAGCACACTGCATAACTTAGATTAATTTATTGTATTTGAGTCCTGAAAGCTTTTCAAGGATCATCCCCAATGGTTGCCTTGGTGAGAAAATTTAACCTGAAATGCAGTATAGGCAGGAGGACCCAGCCTCGGGCCACCTTTTCAGCCTCGCAGTTAATGTGTCTGGCAAAAAAATATTGCAATCAAATCTTTGAACCGGCATTCAGAGAGCAGAGAGCACTGGGGTCAGAATATCGCAGCATGCAGACTACACGGTGCTCTTTCATGTTATATCATCTGCTCGACTTAAGGGCGCATTTAATGATTAAAGACGTTCTTCTGGCCTCTGGCTTAATGCTAAACTTACAAAAAAACCTCATGCATTCCAATTGGCGCTCCATTACAAGACGACACTGAGAACATCCTCGGCATTAAGTGCGCCAAATGAATGTCTTGAGGATAACGTTTTCACACAATAATGATGGCATAACGCAAAATAGCATGGAGCAAAAGCTGTTGCGTATAGAAAGGGAGTTTACCCAGCGGCGTAAAGAGAAAGCTCACTTTTAGGACGGATTACAATGATTAAGTCTCTACTTATTTCGAAGTTGGTTTATTTGTTCGCCGCGTTACGACACCCATCCCCTTAACTTTGGCATACATTGAATACCTTTTCATTTCCTTCTTGTTGAGGTACTGGTAAGGCCCCATAAAACGTGTCACGAGTGATTAATTGTTTCGGGCATGGTGGATAGCGCATGGTTGACGTACAGGCGTTTGCAAGCAGCTTGAAACTTATATGGCTAAAGGGACTACTTACCTCGGATGCAGTATGGGCACAACTAGCCGCGAATGAATTGTCGTCCTTTCAAAACATATTGTGCATCGGAAGCAAAAAGCTGCGAAATGTTTACTTCGCACTAAAAATCATTTCCGTCCCGACCCGTCATTGTCCGTCCCGGTAGCTCAGTTGGTTAGAGCGCCTGCCTTCCTATCCACCCACCCGTGGCGGGGTGGGTTCGAGTCGCCTTAGGGCGCTCGCTATTTGCCCTTGACAGGTATGGCCTGCGGCCGGTGGCAGCGGTCGCGCTAAAGGTCAGTTGACGTCAGAGGGCAGGACGGACCGTGCCGAGCATTGCGGCACGTTAAGCTTTCGCCACAAAATTCTGCCGTTGACATGGAGTTGCGCGATCGGATGGTACGGGGTCAGGGCTCACACAACAAACACTGCTTAGCGTGCGCTCTGATCCCTGAAATCCATCCATTCAAAGGGTTCGGATCAAATCTTTAAAAAAAAATACAAAAAATCTGGATAGACGTTGTTGAAGCCTTTGAATGGCCCAGACGTGACTACCCTCTTTCCATGCCGCGAATTATCTTCGAAAGTGTTTGGTTCTCCGACACACCATATTTAAGAATACGATCATAAGCGACTGGGACAGAAAGGGCCTACGATTTCTTGCTGGCCTGGTAGACGCGAGTATGGGAAAGCTACATTCAAAGCGAATCTCGGAAGATATATTTGGGATAAGAATGACATTGTTACTGTATTAAAAGCTTGATATGAAGTTTTCATCAGTGCGTCCGTCATCATCCGCCGTAGTTGCCAGGCTCGCCATGCCATGAAGACGTTATCTTGCATTGAATTTTCCAACATTTTCACGATTAGCGTATGATTAGCCAGGAGGAGAAATTGGTGAGGGACATACGATGCTTTGAAGAGAAGAGCATGACGGAAGTAATAAATGCCGTACATTCAACACGAATAAGATTTTTCAGTACAAACTTTTCGATGGCATCCTTACAACCGAAGCATATGTGAAATTAATTAAGCGGGAAGGGGATGGCAATTGCACTTTATGTAAAGAAGGGTCTGAAATACTCATCCATATTTACTGGAAGTGCCTTAGAATTTAAGCCTGCGTACAAAACATCAGGACTGAGACCCTGATACGTTATCAAAACGACTTTGTAATAGGCGCCAAAAGCTGGCTGCTTCTGACTGACCTAAGAGCAATAGCATTATTGGTGATATCATAAGTAAAGCAAGTAATGTAAGAGTCACGTTGCGGAGAGACGCCCCCCACGGTGCCTCACATGAAAAACAAACTGAAAAAAGAGGCCAAAATTGAATATCTTCCTGCAAAACTAGTTCATCAGCAAGGCTCATATGAAAAGAAATGGGGACAGCTGAAAGCGGTCGCGCGATGACAGAATGACCATCAATCCATTCTCACCGACAGATATTAACCCAGCGAGAACCGTCTACCACTTCATATGCCGGCACACCCACAGCGACACCCACACCCACACATTCACGCATGCACCAACGAATGTCCTTGCTCACATGCTTTTTCCACTTCTCACCTTCACCAGCACGCTCACGCTTATTCCTATGAAAACACACTCTAGCCGCGGCGGGTCGGGTGCGGCCTGTTGTCCCAGTGCGTAACGCGTCGAGCCCAGCACAGGGGCAGGTGCTGATCCTTGTAGATGGCTCTCTGGCCCACATCATGTGTGATTGCTGCGTGTGTGTATTGTCGAGTGATTGTTGATGTGGTCGTAAATATATGTATAGAAATAAGGCTAGGCAATGACGAAGTCGGTTCAAATTCCACAAGTCATTCAATACACAGAGGCTGTTCATAAACTGCGTTTAGCATTTTTGGCCGTTTTTCAACACTTCAACCACTGGCTTAGATACTGGCTGCGATGGGCAAATCCCCCTCCCCCGGTTAAACTTTGCTGCACGTCACGCTCCGCCAGTAAACGTTCGTTTGGCCCCTAATTAAGCTAGAGTTTCCAAACAAAGATGTGAGTGTTGTTTGTCGTTCAAAAAGCCGGCGGCATCTGCTCTGGTATTTAAAAAAAACATTTTCTAGCACGATGAGACAGATTTTAGCATGATTTGCAGCTACACCTAACATGCTGTTACGCTATTAAAAAACCATCCACCTCGTCACACTTTGGTCACGCTCTGTCAAAACTACCTCTATGCATAGCATAACCTATGGACGGCCGCATACGCTGCTCACATTCAACCGTGAAAAGCACGTACATGCAAGGGAGACGTATTTCTTTCATGCTCGGCGGTCGCTGACTGAGCGACACGGTCAATCTGAGCGCGCGGTCTTACGCGGAACGACCCTCTCCCCTAGCCCTGGCCGCTGTCATCCCAGTACAGTGCTGGGCGCCGAGCGACCGCCAGCTGCTTCACTGACCTTGCACACGGCTCGGTCGTCCGGCGCCCGTCATCTGCTGCCGAGGACCCGGGCACACGTATACCGGCTGACTGTAGACTGGCGCAGCCGCTGCGGCTCGGCGCGTTACTTGTTTGCTATCGGTTCATTTCAGAAACGTTGGTTTCACGACGCTGCCGGACCGATTAACCAGACTGGAGTGATTATTGAGAGATTGGAGACTGGAAATTAAGGTCTGGAGTGAAGTGAAAGTTACGAAAGCAGGTCAGGAAAGGAGGTTCTGTAACAATTATAACATAGGATGCTTAGATTAATTCACCAAATACCATCTGAGATTTTCGCAAGCCAGGAAAATGCAAGATGACAGGTTAGGTGCACCCCCCGAGTCCACAGGCCTGCCGGTGGCGCCCTCAGTGGCTTAACCACCCCGCCGGAAGCTCCCTCGCCGAATCCATAATCCCTTCGGTGGCACCATCACTCCTCTCCCGGCTTCACGATCTCACTGGTGACGCCCTCGCCACCCCCCCCCCCCCCCCCCCCCCATCCCCGCCGGTGGCGCTCTCGCCGGCTCTCCAACGGACGCCGCGGACTGGCCGCGTCTGCACCAGCCGCGCCCGGTGGTGCTCTCGCCGGCTCTCCGACGGACGCCGCGGACTGGCCGCGTCTCCACCAGCCGCGCCCGGTGGTGCTCTCGCCGCCTCTCCAACGGACGCCGCGGACTGGCCGCGTCTGCACCAGCC